TAATTTAGGCTTTCATACACAATGATCAGAGCTCATAATATTTTAAACAGAAGCTCAAACATGTTTGCTTTGTGCGCAAGAACCAATTAGGTTTGTTCTCGTGTGTCAGACAAACACCTTTGAGTTTCTGCAAGAACCATGATCTCTTTTATGATCTCTTTATGAACTTTTTGAAGTGTCGAGGTATTGGTGGAATGGACTTTAAAGCTACACTGTGTGATTTTTACCTCCATCTAGCGGTGAAAATCTATATGACCATCCAGGGAATATTAGTTTCTGTTCCTCTCAATTCTGATTTCGTTTTAACTCCTACGGTGGCCAGTGTAGTCCAATATTAGCGTGGCTTCCAGTTCGACCTCGTCCATGATTTTTAACTCAAACGTAAACGCGAAAGGCGAAGCTTGAATTAACGGGTATGTCCCTCTTTGGCTAATGTACTTTCAAGATGGAGGGGCGACATGGCGACTGACATTAGAACCCCTTACCCGTCTGTATTTTCAATGGCATATTATACACTCACGAGAATACTTTATTACTCGAACAAAGTAAATATACATTAATTTGCACATATATTTTTGAAAGAACTAAGTGTTTTTGGCTACGAATAAACTAAAAGAGTTACACAGTGTAGCTTTAAATGGAGAGACAGAAATCTTTCAGGTCTCATAAAAAATATATGTTTTGTGTTTGAAGAAAAGGCTTCTGGCTTTTGGAATGACATGAGGGTGAATAACTAATTTTTTGGTGAACTTACCCTTTAACATAGATGGATTTTCAAAACCTTCATGGTACCTCTTTCCAGAACACCTTCAAATAAACTTTTGGCATAGCGTCCAGTATGCATTCAACATTTCTCAATTGCACTGGGATCATAACCAACATAAAAACGGCATGTTCGGGAAGTCCAATAACCCGTGTCCTGCCAGGATGCTCTCTCCCAGTGGCCTTTTGTTAGCAAGAACACATGGATTAGTTTTCAGCACCTGTCTCAGAACTGGAAACTGTCCCTTGTGTCCAACCGCAAGGGTCTGCTGTCATGTTACATCAGAGTCATGCAAACCATGCGTCTCGTCCCCTCTTTGTCATACGAGTTAGACTTGGAACCAAAGGGGTGGAAGTTGTGTCTTTTCAATAAGCGATTAAAGGTCACATGAGCAATAAAGTGGCTTTGGATTGAATGACTACTCACAAAGTGCACAACTTTTTGTCTCGCTTGGCTGACCAGCTACATGAAGACAAATTCCCACTCCTCCTAATTCTCAGATCAGAGAGCTGCATCACAGCTCTAGATGAGTCTAGACACATAAGGCTAACGGCAACATGTGTGGTGGCGGCACGTATCCATTAGACTCGACGTGTCTTTTCATTCCCACCAATACTAAGACCCAGGTCTCCCTCTGTCTGAGGGGAAAACTCCTCCTTTTCCCAGCAGAACTCTGGAGCAAAAACAACATCCCTTCCGAGTACGTTGCACTCACCCCCATTTAGATAAGGATTATGTTTACTTCCACAATAGAGAGTGAAACAGAGTTAATTAATTGTCATTTGTTTCATTGCTTACAGGAAGAGATGGACTGAATATTGCTATGGGGAGGCATATCTAGGAATCCATTTTTAGGCCCTGATATTATCTTGCTTGATATCTAATTTCTGAGTGTTTACATCTGGGCATGCACAATATATCGGTACCATATCCGTTATACGTAATTGATAATTTCCTCTATTTTTACATTAGTTTAGCTTTGCTGTCATCTAACACTCAATCTTAAACAAAAAAAAATTATTATTATTTTATTAAGACTGTTTTTTAGCAAATCTTAAAATTATTATCCTTCATACTGCACTTTATAATGATGCATAAATTGACTTAGCATTTAAAACAATTTGACTTTGGTTTTTAGGGTTTTATTTTAAGTTGTAGCATACTCAAAGTTTTATACTTCTCATCTTTGAGTTGGTTCTAAAGTAAATAGCCTGTTGAGGTAATGTAAGTAACTTTATGTTTATGTGCTATCCATTACAGGAGTGACATGTTTTGGTCCGTGTTGGAGAAGTCAGTATGTTGCCTCTGCTAATTTTGGATGTTATGTCGAGCAAGTGGCCTACATGGGAATGTGTCTATGTTGTGCTATAAATACATGGCTTTTCGTCCCGTAATGAGGCCAAGTATAAGGAAAATAAAGTGGCTCGGTGTGGTATTTTCACCCTTTTTTATTATGTTAACAGACAGACCTGTTAATGTGACAACAAATTTGTTTATGCTCCTTATAAACATGGGAGAACTAAATCAAGCCGCAGTGGCCCTAAGCCAGCATGGGGATTTATTGTTTCAGGGATATATGTTGCTTTTTTTATTAAATGTGATCATTTAATGTAATAGTTCATGTGTTTTATAAACCTGTTTTCCTTTTTTGTCTTATATACCCCCTCAACCTCATTAGTAAGGCCAGTGGTTATATAGCATTAATATAGCATTATCATTAATATGATTAAAATGCCCATAATAAGTCAATAATTAAGATAATTAATCAAATGCCTATATAAATAAGACAATTTCTCCAAAAAAGACCTCCTTAACCTGTTTGTTGATGAAAACCAGATATTTAAAAAATAAATAAATCATTTGCAGGTTTAGTACAGTAGAAAATAATTATTATCAAAGCTTGACAGTTGACTATTTGACTAAACCCTTCCTAAATTGGTTGAAGCATTAACTACAAAACAGGTGTATTGTCATTTTTAAGAAAAGAAAAATATGATTTTTAAAAAAACTGATTTTAATTTAAATACAAAAAATAAATTTGAAATAAGTGTTAAGCATAGCTCCAAGAAGTAATTTATGAGGTTCAAGCACTTTAAGGCCTCTAAGCACATGTGTAAAAAAGGTATTATGTTTTATTTAGCAAGCCTGTAACCACCTACAGTATCATAGATGGAATAGACCATTTACTAAGGAAATATGTGGTTTACCTAGGACTAGTTTGTGCGGAAGTGGTTTTTGAAATAATCTCCAATATTTAACGATTGATTCAATTGACAGCATGGGTCCTAGAGGCAAAGTTTCTTAGAATGAGGAGTAAAATCGAGTGATATAGCGAACAATCCTTTACGCACGTGAAAATTGCGAAGGCCCCTAAACTAAAACTAACCAGTGCAAAACCGTACAATTTAAATTTCGCACCAGTTTGGCAAAACGAGTCATGAGACTGTTGATTTGTAAAACATTTGCTTGCTTCTGTAACATTGGTGTCATTGGCAAGGGTTTCAATCTTGAGGATGAAGAGAGGCTCCTAAAATCCTGTTAAGTTTGTTCAGGATTACCCAGCTGTCCTGTGCTGTATTTATTTACGAAATACCAGCAGCTGTTACTGATCATGCAGGTTTAGAGGGTTACAGCTAAAATACCTCTCATCTCTTTGACATATCACTGTTTTTTCATAGATGGAGACCATTGTATTTCTTTATTGTTGTTATGGTATTGTTTCGACATAGTACATAGAAACAAGCTATTAGTCAACTTGATAAGGCGTTCAACACGTGGTTTGTGTAGTTGTCCTGATGTCACCTGATTGATAATACCCTAGCGGGTGGATGAACGTGCATATCTGCAAGTGTCTGAGTGCGCCTCTGCCCAAAATAGATGTTACTTAGTGTAGACTTTACGGTAGCCCCTTGACGTCTGAAATATGGGATGAGAGGGTGAGATGGCACCTTAGGGTTTCCTGTTTTGCTTTTAATGGGTCATCCATGACAGGAACTGCCACTGTGTGTTACGTCACAATATCCAACCCCTATAATTTCACACATGGCTCCCAAAATGTCTCTGGGTTCTTTGGACATGGACTATTTGAGGGTTATTGACAGATCTGAGTGGCACATTAAGAGATTGAGTAGGAGTAAAGTGAGAGCTGATGAAACTCATTATCATGGTGAGATCATGGTCGTGGCACTGCTAGGTGAGATTCTTGCCGAGTGCATGTCGCTGAGCTTACGACACCTCTAGTAAAGGAGAAAAATAGTTCATAGATAGTCATCAACCCCTCCATGTCCTTGTCCTTATCCGGCCGAATAGCTTCATCATTCAATTTCCTTCAGTTATATGTACTCTAGATGTGAAATTCACCTGTTTAAGTAAAAACAATTCTATAAAATATATGTAATAATAGTGATAAAACAAATGTAATATTAAATTTTATATATATATATATATATATATATATATAGAATTTCATAATTTTTCTCTGTATTTTATTTTTATTTTGCTTTTATATATTTATATTTTATATATTTTACTATATATGTATATTATTTTATGTTTTATTTATTTTTATTTTCTGTTTTTAAATTGGACTTGTATCATTATTTTACTTGTACAAGTGAATCTCACAAAAAGTCGCATCAAAATAAATATTAAAAAATGATTATTTTTTTATAAAATAAAGCTTGTTTTCCAATTTTTTATTTTATTTTGGTTTTTGGTACTACTAAGTACGTTTTTGAGGATTTGTTTTTTACAGTATTACAGTAATTAATTGCGAATAATGTGAATTGGAAATAAAAAGACCAGACAGAGTACACTAATGAGAATTTCAAGGAAAAATGTGTTTAATTTTAAATAGAGCAGCATTGCAATGCAAATAGTTGTAATGATCCCAAAACAGCTTCATTATCTGACTGTATTTGTATAGTATGATGTATAGATTTCCCCAAACCTTTTGTTCCTCTACGTCCTCCTATTTTTCTGCTCCTGGCCATTGAAAAAACACCCTTTTCTGATTCCCTCTGCACATATCCTCTTCTCTCCTTCCCCTCCCACTTCTTCTTTCCCAACTCCCTCTCTGACTGGCATTTATTTCAAGGATCTGATTTGGAGAGACTGGTATGGCAGCCGGAACCATGACTGTTCTCAGTGGGTGGGTGGAGCCAGAGCGTTAGGGGAGTGAAGCGTATAAAAGCCTGAGCTGGTTCATCCCTGTCAGTGGCACGCTCAGAAACGACAGAGTGAACCGGTATTCACCTCGAGTATCTTGTATTCTCAAACTGTTTGTTAGCGTCACCTTCTGTCAAGAAGAATACAAGGAAGAGAGAAAGCTGCTATAAAACCTTCACCACAGGGAAACCTGGAGAATTGCAAGGCTCTCCTGACATCTCAGAAGACGAACGGCCAGCCCTTGCCATCCAGATACATGGCTTCCCGTCCGATGGAGACGGTGGGATTCGCCGTTCTACCCGCACACGTCTTGGCATCGGCCATGGAGGAGTTTCCCCAGCAGCTACCGGTCCCCAAGTGTCTGGCTCGGGGCCGAAACCGTCCCCGGCGGCCCCGAGACGCCCGCTTCAAGACCCAGCCGGTGACTTTTGCAGAGATCGCCGAAGTGGAGGAGGAAGGGGCTTCACCTATGGAGGAAGAACGGGCCAGACGGTCCTTCCTTCAGTCGCTGGAGAGTCTCAGGAGAAGCACACAGACCTTGCACCACGCGGGATCCACACAGAGCTGCCACGTCTCGTCTGCACAGGCCAGTCTGGACTCCAGCGACTCAGACTCGGCGCAATGAGAAGACAGGAAGGATGGCAGGAATGTCACATATCTTACAGTTAAATTCCTCATTCACATCCGTTAATCTATACGACGTGCAGATTCCAGTCGAGCAACACCGGCCGACACAATAATGGTTTACCTCTGCAAGAACAAAGTTGTAGCACATTGGAAGATTTCAGAAACCACGTAAACGCTTACGCAAATTCCTTTTTTTATCGTACGAGACTCGAGGACCGGTGAGGTTTCATCTGTAATGGACTTGACTAGAAACATGATTCCGATTTCAGTTTAATAGACTGATGTTATTCATATCCCTCGTGCCTGCTTGAGATTGCACAGTCGAATGGGTCCTCCACTGCTGGTCAGGATGTAGACACGTTTTGTTATAATTCATTGCTGAACAAACTAAAAGAGGTACAACAGAGATACTGAGATGTATTTTTACAGAAAATAGAGGGTCTGCCAGAACGGCGAACTTACTAATGAACTCGACGTGGAGCAAATTATTGTACTTTTCAAATGTATCTTATATTTATTGGCAGATTATTTTGTTATAACATAGTGAGTTTTAGAGAATTGTTCTGTTGACACTGTGGACTTGTAAAGTCACTATCACTGTATGTAAGAGAAAAAAGCCTTTATACTTCAATACTTTCAACTTTGTTAATGTTTCATACTTTCTTTCATAGTTATATAAATAAACTTTATAACATTGAATTCATCGTCTCTTGTTGTGCTGTTTTGACATGTGGGGATCAGCCAATCAATTGAAACTTTTATAAAGAATAAGTGCTTGTTAATGAGCATACTGTGAGGAAAAACGTGGAAAAACTAAATTATAATGTCATTTTGATTAGCAAAATCATTCGTATTTTTATCTCTATATCATAATTTTCTTTATTAGTTCCCTACTTAGGATATACAAATAAATAGACGCAAAAAAACATTGGGGCTGTCCATAAAGTGAGAGTAAAAGGGGTTAAAAGAAAGTGAAAGGTATTGTGAAGTCTGTTTATGACTCTTCATTACATATTCTAATGAACTATTGCTTCTCATAATAATGATCACCTATTATCTCAGATGACAGCATGTGTTCACATTCACATTACACAACCACATTTCATCTGTCTCTATCTGGACTCAATGCCTGCTATCAACCAATACAGATGGCATGTAAAAATAGCATCTCATGACTTGCCTTCTGATCTAGTTACATTAAAGGAAATCTTGCCTCTCCATCCAACTGGGGATTCTGCAGTGTTGTGAAAGACTGTGCTTGACACAAAACAGTGAGACTGAGTGTATTTATGTTTGAGGGATTACCTTTTGACCCACTGTGTCACACTAATGCTTTAATCTCTACGCTTTCTGACTTGGCAGGCTATGTTTCAGCTGAATAATATAAATGGGAAGTGTATGTGGAAAAGTAATGACTGTTTTCATACAGGTTTCCCTTTAACACCCCCTACTGCTGTTTGCCAGACAAACATATAACCCCACCTCCAAACACACATTGTTTGAAGTATTTACCATAAATGAATTATCCATGCAGAAAAATCCATGTGCCCTCATAATCTTTAATTAAATTAACTTCCCCTCCCTCCTTCTCTGATGACGTGTTTGCTGGTGTGAGGACGGGATCAACCTGTCACTCACATGAGATCGACCAATAGCAATGTTGCGCTACTACGCAAAACATACTGAAGCACGATTATGTTAACAAATTAAAATGCATTAAAATTGAAGTTGCTATAGTCTTTTCTTCCCTATTGTGACATATATTCAAGTGAAACAAGAAAAAATGTGGGGCGGGACTTGATTTTGTCCCGCCCTCGATCCAGTGAACATAAGAGAAGAGAATTATTTTGATTAAAGATGATGTCGGAACATAATGTGCACGGATAAATCATTTATAATAAATGCTGCAATAATGCATAAAAACCAAGAACTGTCCATTTTGATTTCATGGTGACTTGTTTCTGTGTCGATAAATCATCCTAAGAATGGCTCACGTACTGTAGTTGTTACTGCATATTAAACTAGATATGGGAACACATTTAAACGTAAACATAAATCACCTTTAACTGATTTTTCTTCAGATGAAATATCCTTGTTCATCTCCCCTTTCTGTAGCGAAGCGCCTCAATAACCTACTTTACATAGTGTGGTTGCCATGGTGATAGTGAGGTCTGTGAAATATGATGTTTTGGAACTGTTGTGAAAACAAACTTTATGTTCATTTCCACCAGACCGTCTTGTCTCCTATCATTCTCTCTCTCTCTCTCTCTCTCTCTCTCTCTCTCTCTCTCTCTCTCTCTCTCTCTCTCTCTCTCTCTCTTAATCAGTCTAATTACATGTAGGCCTTTCATCAAGCTAAATACCCCCCATAGATTTGCATTAGCTTAATTTTCGGACCCTTTTCAGAGCTAACGTCATTTTTGATCATCATGAACATTAAAATGTAAAAATGACACTGCATATCTATTTGAATACAGGAGTCCTGGCGAGTGCGTACTGTGCACTGAACAAAAACAGCCTTTAATTGAAAACATCATGTTCCCAGCAGGCATTTGGACTGGCCCCACTGTTCTCGGTTATATAACAGATTGTTCTTATCGCGTATTCCTTGCCGAATGAAGATCTTATGAAAATATTGCTGAGAAGAGAGTGCGTCAAGGAAACCACCAGTGTTAAAAGACTCCTTCCAAGCCTTAAATGAACACAATTGAATTGTATTTTCCATTGCACCCTTTGTATCTTTGAATCACAAAATATATGTATGTCATCCGATTATATATAGACTGTTTATTTCACTGTTGACCTGGCAAGAATAATTAAAGTGAGTGGGCCTGAAACGTGACTGAATCATAAGAGGAAAACAATGACTCATGTTTACAAGCCAATGTTTATTAACTCATTCATTTTGCGATCAGCGATCATTTAGCTAGATAAGACCCTTATTAATTGTCTGGGGTCATTTAAAGCCCTTTGAAGCTGCACTGAAACTCTCATTTGGACCTTGAACCATTTGGTTCCCATTGAAGTCCATTATATGGAGAAAATCCTGGAATGTTTTCATCAAAAATCTTAATTTCTTTTCGACTGAAGAAAGAAAGACATGGACATCTTGGATGACATATCCAAGATGTAAATTAGTAAATTATCAGCAAAGGTTTTTTTTTTTTTTTTAAAAAGTGAATTACTCCTTTAATTAAAACAACTTCAAAAAAATTAAAAATCCATTAAGGAGTTTCCATTAAAAAATCCCAGTAAAATTAAGAGTTAAATGGATTGCTTGTAACAAGTTGGGCTGATGGGCAAAAAAAGATGAACTGCTCAGAAAATTAGGTAATTTTTCCCTTTTTGGAAACTCTTAGATCCAGCTTCACCACATGGCACTCAACAGAAGATCAAAAGTCAGATTTGGGGAAAATGGTAAATAAGAGGGGTTATTTTACATTAATTTGAATGCAATTCATTGCTTATTCACCTGACTTTTCCTTCTCATTCTGTTCAAGGCTGTCTGGGTTCTGTCTGCAAAAGCATTTGTTTGCTGAATCCCTGACCTACATTCTCATTCACCACGAAGCAGAATCCTTTGGGCTTTGGGTCAGAACCAAAAGCACATAACTGGAAGCACCATATTGCCCTTGTTCTCCCAATGTCTGTCTCTCTTTGACCTGATGGAGACAAGGATGCTGAATGAACAGAGGGTAACCTATTTAACACACTCTCATTTCCTCAAACCATCAATGAGGAGGTTGGTAATTGCTGCCATGGAAAGAATTATTAATATATGTTTCAGGGAAAATAAACGGATCGATACTGTGTGCGTGATATATGGTGCTGCTCTTCATATTTGTCATATAAACAGCCGTCTAATTCTGCTCTGGATAGATGCACGGAGGTTTTCGATGCGGTCAAGTTTCTGACATTTGTTGAAATGTTATCTTGTTTCTCTGATTATGACTGGAAACGTATCTGGGCCTTCTTTTAAATGCTCTGCTGACATTTTCATTTTGTGTTGTGACGCAGAGATAACCAATAGAGGGTTTTGTATTTGCCAAATTAAACACGTCTATTCTCCAATGGCTTGCTATGTAAAATCTGTTCTTATTTTATCCTGCCCTTTACCCTGTAAATTCTAATCTGCAATGGGCGGAGGGGGCATTAAATGAACATTTAAGCTAGTTATTAAAGTTTATACTAAGTTGTATTAAAGATAAAGGGGCAGTTTTTGGTTTTAATTCAGATGGATTGTAAAGCTGTCACTTTTTGTTTTGTGGATGGAGAAACGTTAAAAGAAACAACATTCCTTTGTTAGATGTTTTTTTTGTGTCTGGGTCAAAGAGCTATTAGTCAGCAGTCAACTTGTTCTCTTTTATGTTTTTTATCCTCAACAGACCCAATGACTAATGCTGTAAAGGCAACAAACTAAGTGGCCAAATGTCTTGATTATCCAAAGATAAAAAACATAAGAACTTCAACTCAATCCATTAATGGTTTCTGCATCCTGAGTATACAATCATTTGAGAGGCTGAGTGAGAGACAAAACTCATTTCTGAGAAATATATTGTAAGGAGACCCCTTTGAATACTGCTCATGTAAAAAAATATGCTGTCAACTCACCATATTTATCTAAAAGTAGCATGGCCACTTGCCATGAGTAGGTCACTGACCTCGAGATCAATATGTTTTACTAATATCTTATCTTTTACAAATATCCTGTACTCTTACTCTTATTTTCATGTGACATACAAACTGTAAAAGTGGAAATAAAAGCAGTATTTTGAATAAAACATGAAATTGTGTATTGGTTTGTCATAATGTGCACCAATTTCATAGCATGTTGTTACTATAATGTATATTGCCAAATATACAAAACTAAAGCAAAATTATAATAAGAAAAGTATAATACAATTTTAAAAATAAATAGTAAACAATATATAACAAAACATAATAAAATAACATTAATAATCACACACAAACCACAATATTAGTTACACACATTATATTAGTTTATAACACTAAACTAATTTTCTGTGGTATTCCTGCTCATACGTTTTTTTTTAGGCACTGTTCAGATACTCATATGATTGAATATGACAATAAAACAAAACTCAAATTTGAATCACTTTTCAACTTTGACTTCTGTCCAGTAGATGCCAGTAACACATGAAAACGCACTGCATACTACGCACGAGAAGAAGCAATTTTATTGACTTGACAGTGGACCAATCACGAAGCGAGAAACGATTGACGTCGTTGTATTTTTTACGAATGGAGCTCTTTGGACCTATCACACAAAGAGAAATGAATGACGTTTTTAAAGTTCGTTTACTCCAGCCAATGACAGTCAACGAATTCTGAAGCGCGAAGAGTTTAAGGCAGAGAAGAAAAACGATGGCTAACGGAAACCCATAAGTTTAACAAAACAATACTTTCAAAATGCTGTTTTTATATATTTTCCGTTATTTTTAACCGTGTATTTTAGATAGACGTAGTTCATTACAAACTGTTTTGGGTTGTTTATGCTCAACGGCGACATTAATAATGACTCGTGTTAACGTAACGTTACAGCTGTGTGTGTGTTCGTTCGCATCAGCTTCTCGTGAGA